AGAAGAAGAAGAAGAAGAAGAAGAAGAAGAAGAAGAAGAAGAAGAAGAAGAAGAAGAAGAAGAAGAAGAAGAAGAAGAAGAAGAAGAAGAAGAAGAAGAAGAAGAAGAAGAAGAAGAAGAAGAAGAAGAAGAAGAAGAAGAAGAAGAAGAAGAAGAAGAAGAAGAAGAAGAAGAAGAAGAAGAAGAAGAAGTAGTTGTTGAAATGGAGAGCGAGGTTGAGGTTGCATTTGTTCATAATGTGCTGTGCCCACACAATACCTTTAACCAGAAGTGAACAGATACATGTATTCATATATTATATTAGAATCTATATTATAATTATATAAATTATAGATACAATCGATTATAGATATGTAGAGAGAATTGAAAGATTAGCGTCAGCCTTACCAGACAGAAAACATGATCAGATGAGCCAATTCTACTTTATTGTTAAAGATACATTAATAGAATCCTGCATGTGTGATAGTGCACCCACCTCCTTTACATCTTGAGAAGTTAGGGAGGGTCTCTTCTGAGCCTCTTGCCCTGCCCACTATTCACCTGCGGGATATGCTGTCTCTTATCGGACCTATCCCAAGGCAGCATCTCCTCCACTTCTTCTCCCAAGGTCTTTCCCACACACTACTGCATGATATCAGTGAGAGAATGGGTGTCCCTGTCCATAGACCATGTACAGGTATAGTGTAGGTGGTAGCTTGCTCAATAGTAGCAACTGTGAGAGGGATCTCGGAGTCCTGGTGGACAGTCACTTAAATATGAGCCAGCAGTGTGCTGTAGCTGCCAAAAAAAGTCAACACAGTGCATTAACAGATGAATAGAATCAAGATCACGTGAAGTATTAATACCACTCTACAATGCCTTGGTAAGGCCACACTTGGAATACTGCATCCAATTTTGGTCATCACGATGTAAAAAAGATGTTGAGACTCTAGAAAGAGTACAGAGAAGAGCAACAAGATGATTAGAGATCTGGAGGCTAAAACATATAAGGAACGGTTGCTGGAATTGGGTATGTCTAGTTTAACAAAGAGAAGGACGAGGGGGGACATGATAGCAGTGTTCCAATATCTCGGGCTGCCACAAAGAAGAGGGAGTCAAGCTATTATCCAAGGCGCCTGAAGGCAGGACAAGAAGCAACGGGTGGAAACCAATCAAGGAGAGAAGCAACCTAGAACTAAGGAGAAACTTCCTGACAGTGAGAACAATTAATCAGTGGAACAACCTGCCTCCAGAAGCGGTGAATGCTCCAACACTGGAAGTCTTTAAGAAGAGACTGGACAGCCATTTGTCTGAAATGGTATAGGGTTTCCTGCCTGAGTAGGGGGTTGGACTAGAATAGATGACCTCCAAGGTCCCTTCCAACTTTTTTTTTTATTATTATTATTATTATTATTATTATTATTATTATTATTACT